GTAGTGATCATGTACCAATTACCTATGAAATAATGCTACCACAACTTACCTCTGCTATCCGGCAACAACCGTTCACCAACTATAAAATTTATAAAACTGTTTTAAACTCCGCGCTCTCGTCATTGAGAGGACGCGTCGGACAGCAGCGAACTGCTTCAGTCGTAGCGTGTCTAAGTGGCTCTGTCCAGCCGGCAGAGTTTACTGTTAAGTACGGCAGCACATCGTCAAATTCAGATTGGTGGAATGAAGATTGTACGCTTGCGTATAGGCGACGTAAGGCTGCTTGGAAACGTTTACGCCACAACCATACTCCGAAAAATTGGGTTGACTATAAATTCCACGCAGCGCTGTTTAAACGTACAGTTGCAATAGCTAAAGATAAACACAATTCTGGCTTACATTCGCGTTTATCAAAACCTGATAAAAGATCTGCCCTGTACAGGTTTCTCCGGAACAAAACATCGACGCAGGTACCAGCATATTCGCATTCAGTAGTGCTGTCTCCTAAAGAGACAGCAGATTTGTTAGAGGGCATCGCGAAAGGACTTGAAGCGCGTTTCGCTTCGTCATGCTTGAGACCTGTGACATTCAAAAGCGCAACATCGGACTATCGGGAGGTCACTATGGTTGAACTGGCAGATGTCATACTAACTGTAAAGCAAGGGACTCCCGGTCCAGATCAGATTACAAACTCTATGATTAAATTGATATTTAATTCCCATCCCGAGGAGCTTTTGAATATTGTTAACTGCTCCTTACAGCACGCATGGATTACAAGCACATGGCAAATTGCTAAAGTTGTGTTGCTGCGAAAAAATCCAAGCGTTCGGATATGTCCTGGATAACATTCGGCCAATTTCGCTTACTTCAAACCTTGTTAAAATAATTGAAAGAATTCTTCATAGAAGGCTTAGTGAATTCATCGCTCGTCAGGACATCCTTTCACCAAGGCAAGTAGGATTTAGACAGGGGTGCTATATGGTCGGTTCATGTTGATTTGGAAAGCCGAATTCGCCTTGCAAAAGTATCTGGTGAGCTTTCTGCATTAGTCACATTAGATATCGCAAAAGCCTACGATAGTGTGGAATACAGTACATTAATTTCAAGATTAGTGGACTGGGAGGTTTCCAAGTACATTATATCTTGGATTCAGGAGTTTCTCTTTGAGAAACAATTCTTTTGTTGCCACGAGGGAATTACTTCGGCTTTATATAAGCAAACAAGAGGTGTTCCGCAAGGATCAGTCCTGTCACCTCTTTTATTTAATATATTATTATCATCTATTCCCGTTCATAAAAATGTTCCTCTTTACGTCTACGCCGATGATATTGCTTTTTTCTCGTCATCCCGAGATATCAATAGTTTGTATCAAATCTTACAGTCATATTTGAGTGAGCTTGAGGTATGGTTTGGCGGGCTGTCTTTTTCACTTAATGTTAGCAAATGTGCTCTGCTTGTATTCCCTCTATCCGTTCCCGTATTTCTTTCACTGAATTATCGAAATGATCCGATTACACAAGTAACAGCGCTAAACTATCTCGGTATTGTTTACGTGGACAATTTAAATTGGCAGCAACAAATAGAATCAAACACCAGTAAAGCAGAAAGCGCCGTAGGATTGCTCCGCCGGTTTTGCAATAAGAATTCAGGGATGCACAGGGATACGTTACTTATGATATACAAACTTTACGTACGCCCAATTCTGGAGTTTGGCTGCGTTCTGTTTTCTGGAAGTGCTGAGTACAAATTAAGACCTCTTATATTGCTAGAAAGGCAAGCTCTGCGGCTGTGTCTCGGGCTACCTAGGTGTGTCGCGAATAGCGTGCTTTATTTGGAAGCTAGAATCATTCCACTTGATGCTAGATTTCGACAGCTTACTGTGCAAACATTTTTAAAACTTTACGATGCACCCTTCTTCTGGTCACAGACAGTTTTCATCCAACATCCAGTTTCTTTCTTTCAGCGCCCGTGGTTTCGTTATCAAAGACCCCAAGTCATTTTCGTCGAGTCTCTGTCATCAAATCTTCGCGTTTCCCTCCGGCATTTAACTCCCCAAATCCAATGCTCGGTGCCAGTTGACTTAATTTTCGATGATATTTTTCCGAAAAATGCCAAGTTACTTCCAAAGCATGTTCTGGAGGGCCTCCTTCAAGACCATCTCAGTCATTTTCCTAAATACGTAGTAATTTCGACGGACGCAACTCAAAATCTTCAGAAGGCTGGAGTAGGTATTTTTTCTCATCAGCTTAATTGGTCTTTTGCGCTCCGATTGCCTGACTTCACACCAATTTATCTCGCAGAATTCTTGGCTATTACATTGGCTCTTCGAAAACTAAATTATGAGCAATCAAAAGCTATTATTATTTCGGATGCTTTGTCTGTATGTACACATCTCACGTCCGCAAAGAATTCTCCTCTTCTCAGGATATTTTGGTCTCTCGTACCGCATAGCCTATCGGAAGTTCCGTTTATTTGGGTCCCCGGGCATGCTGGAATTGAACTAAATGGAATTGCTGATTCGCTCGCTTCGGCATCTTTAAATTTCCCGGTGGTGCTAGTAGCTCCACAGTTTCCTTTTATTACTGCCGAACGATTCAAACGCCTGTTAATCTTGAAAATCAACGAAACGTCGCTTCTACAATCTGAAGAATTTCGCCACTTGCAATTCACATGGAACACCGCAAAATGCCTTTCCCGTCAATGTGAGGTGACCCTCACAAGCTTTCGCTGTAGAGTTCCTCTGTTAAATTTTTATCTCAACAAATCAGGATTTTCATTAACTAACCTATGTGTAGTTTGCAATGAACCGGAAACAATAGATCACTTTCTTCTCACATGCCGCCGCTTCGCCTCACTGCGCCGAATAATTCTTGAAAGACCCATTGGTATGCTCGGATTGCCAGTCAATACATCCACCCTATTATCGTTTGGAGCCAGTCAGTTGGGTGTGGGCCGCAGTGCTATTCTGTCAGCGCTACATAAATTCATTCAGGCAACCGGAAAGATACGCTGCTAGTGGTACTGCCAGATATATCCAATTCTTTCTCCCCCTTCCTCATTCTTGTTAATTTGTTTTATATAATCTGGTTTATCGCATTCTTCTGCAATTTTTCACGTTTTTTTCAAAGGAACATTATTATTGTTCCTATCTAATTTCTCTTTATTTTTTTAGCAAGCGTTGTAAAATATGATCTATTATGAGGTACAGTGTGGCCAATCCCCTATGTGGGTATGAGCCAAGATCTCCTAGGAGACAAGACAAAATGAACAGCAAAACTGAGGCATAATTTGGGCTGTAATTTTCGCTTAAAAGCTGGGCACAAACTCATCGTGCCGACAAGTAGCGACGTGCAGGAGGATGGCCTAGACTTCACCGCAGTGTTGTATGACGAGCCGAAACGACGGAGGTACGAGTACCGCAACCAGGAAACGCTGCACACCGTTAAAGAGAGAGGAAGCACTCGATTGTCAAGGTCAGCCACTGACAAACAAACGAACGAACAAACAAACCAGACCGTCGACAAAATCTCTCGCAGGAGCCGAAACAAGGATGGGTTCCTTTCTCCCCCTTCGGAAAGCCCCCCAACTCCCACGTACGGCAGCAAAAACCAGCAAGACGGCGAACGAAACGCGCACACTTTCGCGAATTCAGCCCCTTCCGCCTCCTTTCCCTGGCGAACACAAAAGAGCTTTTACGCTCCTCGGACCTCCACCCACCCTTCGCCGAGGGCCGGTCGAACTACGAACCCTCGCCCACACTCGGACCGGCGCTTCGCTGGCTGGCACCGCCGGCGTCCCCTACGAAATGACGTCCATGGAGACACAGGCAAGCTTTTTGTTTAAACCAAACATCGCGTTATGTATTCGCTTACACCACTGAGCTGGCTAGCGAAACTAGGCTGCAGTGTATTCGGTTTGCCCGTTGGGTTGGGCAACCTCCGAACATTTAAGCGAGATGCACTAAACCTGCGGGGCCACCACCATCACGCTTCGTTTGACAAACGGGTGTCTGGGGCGCCGCGCTCGAAGCCTCGTTATTGTTCCGCATTTACTGGCGCGAAAGTATGCAAACGTTTCATTCGTGCGGCCTTCGATTTCGTGTGGCAGAGCTTTTTATCAGCGGGTCTCGTGCAGTGGGAGAGCGCGCTGCCCGTGTAAAAAAAAAAAAAAAAATGGCGAGAATGTTTGATGAGGCGGTGCTCCCACTCGTTTTTGCCGCAATGTAGTCCGTGAAAACAGTGTTTGAAGCTATGTGTTTTTAGAAAGCTGGCGAAGTGAAATGACCACCCGTTTGCTGCTCGCCCTCGCCATAGATACTACAGTCGTTAATCTGACATTCGCGAAGTTTATGAGCGCAGCTCGACGTTACGGAAGCCGACTTTTGGCGCCAATTGACACCACTTTGGATACACCAATTGTTGTAGTATGTAAAATTCATCAACTTTGCAGTCTAGCAACCCAAATAATTTAGTTTGGCGCCCTTATGTTTTTCAACGCTCAATCAGCGCTCACTCGGAACGTGCACGAGCGCTCCCGCTAGATTTATGCAGGATTGGGCAGCTTAAGCTTTGACTGGGGTCGTTAATTCGTGACAAAGGACGATAGCTGAAAAGACTACAGAATTAAGTCAACTTTGCTCTGCGCACCATACAAAACGACGGTGCTCACGACAGTGTCAACCCGCGGAGATAGAAAGGTTACATTGCTGTTGGTATGACGCGGAGGGGAAGACTTGCTGACGCCAAGCAAGGCCACATTTCTCCGTTTCGTCGACGGTGGCGCTTGCGCGTAAAAAAATAGTTTCAGGTGCGGCGCGTCTCCCGCGCAGTGTCGGTTGTTTATTTAGTTGTGCTACGACAACATTGCAGGCCATATGTAACTCACTCAAGGAATGTATGGATAGTCTTGTGCATCCAACTGGCCGCTTTGATCGGGGTATCAACCTCATTCGGCGCGGAGTAGCACGACAACAAATGATCGTCTCCTCGACGCCAATTGTTGATGTGTTGTGACTGGTATTACAGTTATTAGGACATTGTGACCCCGATCCATCGTTTTTTCAACTCATTCTGAATGGAATTAACGCTATAACATCACCAGTTTACGTCTGGCGTCCTTGTTATGTATTCAGGTGGGTGTCATTTGTTACTTGCCTTGGCTTAAAAATAGGCTTATTTTCGTAACGTGTTAGAAGAGCAGTCAATTCTATTGCTGCCGTGCCACTTCGGCACGACGTAGATTGTCGTCATCATCTGACTGTTCGTTTTGTCGTCGTGTCGCTAAAAGGCGTTAGTAATATTTTTTTTTTTACCTTGAAGGAGTGACCCAACTGGCGGGTTTACGCTTAGCAAAGGGGAAGAGACGAACCGATTGGCTCCGTCGCTAGTCCCTATAATTGCTTCCCCGTCGACCAACGGGCTTTTGTCCAGCTGTTAACGGTTTTCGCAACTTCTTATACTCCTATTGGCACCCTGTGATGGCGTGTTTGAAACCTTTTGAATTCCCTGGCGTCCTTCAGATCGCCGATGAACCGTGTGGTAATCTGCTGTTTCCGCGAGCTTGCCGTACGGTACACCTTTGCCGCGCTATGTTTAGCCAGCCTAGCGCCAACCGAGCCTTCATTTGCCATCATGAGTCACAACTCACGGGAAATTCCCCGCAAGTGTTCGATGATGACTGTTACGCAACCCTTTCTCCCAGTATCGACCTCTGCAGAGAGCGGAACATGAGTGTTCCTTTTTTATTATTGTTAATTTTGCTATTCTTCTAATGCAGCTATTAAGCGATGGCACGTACCGCGTTTCTTGGGTCATGAAAAATACCTCGTCCCGTGACTCGGTCCTGCCGTATGTAGTCATCGGTATACTTTGCTTGTGCCGTTAGTTCATTTGCGTCAGACGTGCTCACGTGTGTATGTGGTGTAAACGCCTTGTCATAGACTAGCTTTCGACTTGCGCCCACAGAACGCCACGAGAGCATCGTGGAAAGTCATTGCTCTTATGTTGTGTTACCTGCACGACCTGCACCCAGGGTTGAGAGCGTGACACTAAGTTTATCTCCAACAGGAGCCTCAAATCTGCAAGTCGATGTAATCCCACGTCACTCCCGTCACTAATGGCCGATTTGTTATTCATTGTGGTTGGTATAGTTGCTCCTGGAACATAAAGCGCTCTTTTTTTCTGCAATGTAGATGTATGTTAATTTCTTCTGGCGCGGCGTCGTACTATTCACTCATGCATTGGAGTGTAAATGAACAGTGCACCTGTTTGCTTTCGCGAAGGCAAATGTCTTGTTGGCCCAAGTGCCAGCTGCAGATGAGACCGTTTCTGTTCTTTCTTTATCTGCAACGGGAGCGTTTGTTTACATTTTCCGCTTTTAAGTCGTTGTAAGACATTGTGTTCGAGCTACAATGGGCCGTATTTGTACACTGTGAATATTTCGTGGCAGTTTACCTCTATTGTGAAAATTTACTTTAGTAGTGCTGCTTTTTAATGCTGTTTTGCCATAAATTTTGTTATACAGTGCCCTTAAATGGTAAATGAAAGCATACAAACTTATATAGTGAATATTTAAAGCTTTTTAGCTTTCTATACAACCTAGTGTCATAATGAAACATGAATGCTCAACATGGCATTGTAACTATTACTGTCGAGTTTTCTAGTTCTTGCCTCCATTTCAGGACAGTCTGTTACTTGTATGCAAAGTGAAACAAGCAAAGTACTTTACATTGTATGCAAAGTAAAACTTTAACAGTCCTTAACTTGTACGCAAAGTTTTGTTGAAAAACATCTGACAGGAAAGGCTATTTTTAAGATTTATGGGAACAATCTATTAACTATGTTTTGCTGGTAGTGAGTATGCATCTTATCTTTCTGTGGGGACAGGATGGGAGTGAGTTGTTGGGTGCCCCTCACTACATTAAAACAGAAACAGACCTCCTTTTGATGTCAGAGTACTCGGCATGCTATTATCGCAAAGGCCTACAAAAGTTTTACTGCAGAACAATATTCGAAACCTGTGATGACGGGAGCCAGGTTGCAAGAAGTATCATGTGCATGTAGAGTAAGGAGGCATTATGGTGCAGTGGTCATTGTCAAATAAACTGTTGTGATTCAGGTGGAAGTGCAAGTTGTTGCCATCTTCGTGTATATGTCACTTCATGTGGAGGCAGCGTGGCATGAAAAGAAAAAAATAGTTTTCAAAAGCTGCTTGAAATAGTGACTGTGCCAACATGTTTAGATGTTTTGTGTGAAGGCTTTGGCATCACATGAAGATTATTGGAAAAATTGACGCCTGCATCTAATTGTTTAATATCGTAATGTTGTGGGCAGGACCACAGAAAGAGCCATCAAACTTCGACACAAACGCTGTTGATTGTCTTTGATTGCACTTCGTAGTTTGTAACCGTGACCCAGCACTTGTAGTAACATGTCATGCGAAAAGCCAGAAAGACATCTCCAGCTCTTTATTAAAATATTTCGCTCTCTTTCATTTCTCTGCGGCAATGGTCGAGTCAACTCGATTGCTCCTGATGAAACAGGGCATTGAGTTGAAGGTGAAATTCAAACGGAGGAATTGGCCTTGGTCGTGACAATGGCAGGGCTTCTTATCGAAGCATTTGCTCACATGACATCTCTCTTCGACCAGTTGTGATCATTTCCGTGCACCTTGTCACTATAGTTTTTGTATGAAGTGAGGCTTTGTTTGAACTTAGTGTCAATGCTGCGTGTGGGTGGGCACTTGAGTAAAAGGTTTAGGAAATTATGCAAATTAAAGCACTGTACAAGCAGCTTCTATTTGTGATAGCTCCTTATACCTTTTGCTGCCACACAGAATGATGACGTGATGAATGTGTCATTGTTTCCTCGTGCCATGATGTATTGCTGTGGGCATGCGATGGGCACTGCCATAATGCATCACAGGTTTTTTCTTGGGCACCTTTTTTATATCATTAATTCTTTATGGTTGTGTAGTTTCACCTAAAGGCTATGGCCCATACCTGTTCTCTGTTATTAAGGAGCTCGTTTAACAAAAAGGGTGGATAGGTCAAGGGTAGGTTCCCGTCTAGTCCATTTACTGCTGCTGCAACATCATAATAAGTGAAGGTGCATTAGAAAATGTACAATAGCGTTTGACACTTTGCGCTTTCTGTTTGAGATGCGGCATAATGGGGTAGTAATGCACTGAGCATTCAAACCATCTCTGACATTGTTACGGTGCAACAGTTGTGTGTTTCAAGTAGTGAAGTGCTTTATGATTCTGGTACCTAATTTAATGTTGGAATATATTGGGGAAGCTTTACCAGTGGTACCCTAATCAATAAGTGCCACAGTTTTTTTTTTTTTTTTGTTACGTTTTAGTGTGCTGTTGTGTCCCGCAAGAACCACCACCCGCTAGCTCACCATCGATGTGAAGGTAACATGGAGTGTATGGGCTGACCACAATGCCTCGTTAGTGTTGAAGTGGGTAAAGCTGGAATGCTTATGCAACTTCATAAGGGAATAGTTTTTATATTTCAACAAATCAGCATGTCGATAAACACAATAATTTTCTGAAATATGCACGAAACCTTACCTGTTCTTGAATTATTATGAGTTGTTCACTTAGATGTGGATGACCCCGCACAATCCAGCCAGGAAAAGCATAAGAAGAGTTAACTGAGTTGTAATATGAATAATAACAATCAGAAAATAGTAATTCGCTACTTAAGCATTAATGTGTGTGTCTGTGCCAGATTTAGTTTTACAGGTGTTCGCAAATGCTGATTCAACACTTCCTCAGCTAGGCTGGTGCGCATATCTAAACAAATGGCCAAGAAAGCATGTGGAGGAACAGCCATTAGAATCGTCCTCCCTTACAGTTGGGTGGTCATTTGGTAGAGCAGAGTATTTTCCATGACTGTGGACTAGAGCTGCTTTGGGACATTTGTTGGTTAAAATAAGTTCAAGCTTGTTCTTAGCCATGTGCTAGACTGTTAGGATATTTCAGTGCATGGAAGTGTCTCTCCACCAAACATTCATTGGTACGCTTCACCGGAAACTTTTTTGTTAGAACACAAGTAGCTCGAATAGCAATATTGGTTAGCATATGACGTTTGCCAAGGGAAATGTCAGAGGTGTACGTCCGGTGAATGATGGGGGCTGTTTCTTTGTGCAGAGCATGGTGAGCAACGGCTACAGTGGCCCCAGCAGTGGCGGGGGTGGGACGTTTGACAAGCTGGAGGACGCAATGTCAACCCTGAACAGCCTGTTCTCCTTCACGAGCCCCGCCGTGAAGAAGCTGCTAGGCTGGAAGCAGGGTGATGAGGAGGAAAAATGGGCTGAGAAGGCAGTCGACTCGCTTGTCAAAAAGCTGAAAAAGCGGAAAGGGGCCATTGAAGACCTTGAGAAGGCCCTGTCTTGCCCAGGTCAACCATCAAAATGCGTCACTATTCCGCGGTCTCTGGACGGCAGGCTGCAGGTATGACATGCGTGTTCTACCTGCTTTTTCGTGACGGTACTTAGGAGTGTAAAAACAGACATGATACAGGAACGCCCGTTCTGTTTAGTCCTTCTCGTGTATCTTGTCAGTTTTGCGCTACCAAGTACTTTCATGGATCAGTACAAACTTGCCCGAATTTCTGTGCTTTGAAACCCACCTGCTTTTATTTTCGTCGTCGTAGTAGTAGCAGTAGTAGTTGCACATGTCACATGGTCAGAGGAGAGGTTGAATGAATAAATAAATAGAAATGGTGATGCTCAAAATGTGCAAGCACACTTATTTTAATTCTAGTGGCAGATCTACAACACCACGTGATCTCGATAGTCAATCACACTCGTGCACTTACAGCTTCGCTGTCTGACAGTGTCCAAGGCATGCCCCGCCGCTGTGGTCTAGTGGCTAAGGTACTCGGCTGCTGACTCGCAGGTCGCGGGTTCGAATCCCGGCTGCGGCGGCTGCATTTTCGATGGAGGCGGAAATGTTGTAGGCCCGTGTGCTCAGATTTGGGTGCACGTTAAAGAACCCCAGGAGGTCTAAAGTTCCGGAGCCCTCGACTACGACGTCTCTCATAATCATATGGTGGTTTTAGGATGTTAAACCCCACATATCAATCAATCAATCAGTGTCCAAGGTATGGAGCTGACTGAATTTTTTTTCTTTTCTGTACAGTAATGTAGTCAATCTGCAATGTAAATACATTACAGCATGTGGAGCCATGAACTTGCAGCATACTAATCAGTGGTTATAATATAAATGTTGCCACATCTTGTTTGAAAGGAAATAAAGTTACTTGCACATACTTTAGAGAAGCAGTAGTGCACAACTTTGTTTTCCTCATTGCTTTATGCTGGCACCATGGCGTCGGCTAGCTGTGAATTGGTGTGGCTTCACCGGTGAACGCTAGTGCTACAGCTCAATTTACAAGGGAGCTGTCACTGCTCCATTTGCATGTGCTGTCGTGACTGTCGTTTCTCACCTTCATAATTAGTTATTTGCTTGGTAATGGTTTCGTTTTATGCTCTGTACTCTCTACAGGTGTCGCATAGAAAAGGCCTGCCTCACGTTATCTACTGTAGAGTCTGGAGATGGCCAGACCTTCAAAGCCACCACGAACTCAAGCCATTGGAGTGCTGCGAATACCCCTTTTCAGCGAAACAAAAAGAAGTCTGCATAAATCCTTACCACTACAAGAGGGTCGAAAGTCCGGGTGAGTGTTTTCTTTGATTTTTTACTGTTTGTTGGGGATAAACATAAGTGGAGCAATAGATTTAGACTTGTAAATTATACTCTCAAAATATGGCATCATGAATTTGACCATCATAGGTTTATTAAATATGTGAGAAAATCTGTGTAAAATGTATTGCTTTTAAATTTCTTTCTGAAATATGCAATGGCGACATTTTTTTGTGTGTGTGTTTGCTAATTGGCTCGACAAAGATCCCGAAACATTGTGTGTAACACCTCTGACTCCCTCAGAAGGCAGTTCACTTCGTTTTTACCAGCTGGAAACTATGTTGGTCCTAGTTCACGCTGAAGGGCAATATGACTTAAGTAGAGTTCACAATCCTGAAAGCACGACTCTTATTTCAAGACAATTCTTGGTAAGAGAGAAAATGCACGTGAAGATGCCTTGTTGAGATTCCCGCACCAAACATCACGACATCTTAACTTTTTAAGAAGTCTGCTGGGTCCTATGTAGCTTCTAGTCGGTAAAAATGAGGTTCATTTCATCTGTGGGTGCCATAGAGCCAGCATACAAATTTTCAGAAAGTTAATGACATTGAGTCAATGTCGCGAAAATGCGAAAAATGCAGTTTGAAATTTTTGGCGTTATGCGGAGATTTCAGTGCGAAATTAAAAAAAATGAAACTTCGTGCTTGATTTTGACCACTAATAATGAACTCATGATAGTGATGCATTTGGCAGTGTTCTCAAAGTGCAGTTTGTTAATCTAAGCGAAGGCATTGTTTCTCTTTAGTCTCCTTTAAAAAGCTATGACATTGCAGTTTCTGGTGCCACCACGCACATTTTCTCTTCGTGCGCCTTCTGGTTCACCAAAAGTCTTCTCGCAGTAAGCGTGGCGTTCTTGGTATCGTAAAAGAGCAATTTACTAATGCGAAAAAAGTTTTGTGTTCTTTTTATTTTATTTTTAAGCGTATTACATAGTAGTGTAGTTTAGGCATCATGTTGCGGATCGTGTGACATGTGTTAGTCCACTTGTTACTCTTAAAGAGCCAGCAAACAGGCTACTACCTTTTTTCTTTACATCGCCCAAACAAGCTCGCCTCTTCCTACAGTAGACAGCAGTGATCACATTTTCAGAGTATTACAGCGCTGTGCAGACCCTCTATTTCCAAACAGTTGTTGTGCTTCTTTCCTTTGCCTGACCAATCTTGCTGGCACGCAACGTGACGCAAATTTTTCTATGGGGGACTTAACGTACCGATGAGCTCATCGGTTGATCCCTTGCCCTAAGAAATAGTGTCTTGGCCCTGCGGGGATGCAGTTTCGGACGTGCAGTCCACATTTTTATTTTCCTGTTCTGCCCTCTGCCGTTTAGTAGAGCCCGAGACTACCAGGAGAAGCGGTAAGGTCAGAACGGAAGCCTTTGAGGTAAAGAGGCATCTCGCTACTTCACCTGCTAGGGGAAGGGTGCTCCTCTTTCTGCACTTTTTTTCCTGTGCCACTATGATCTGTCCGCATATAGGGGAAAGCCCTGCTCAGTCGTTGGGTGCGCACCGATTACGTATCGCTGACATCGTGTCATGTTGCGAAGTGGGCAGAGTCGCCGATACAGGCTGCGCCTTCCCCTGCCTATGGCGGGGAGGCGTGGCGAGGCCGCACAGAAATTTGACACCAGCTGAAACGAACACGTTCTGACTCCTGTAATTTCGTTATTATAGCACACATTCATGAAATTCTTGCTGCGGTAAGTTCACAGTGTGCATATATATATATATATATATATATATATATATATATATATATATATATAAATAAATTACAATTTTCGGACCTCAAACTGTTCGCTGGTCCTTTACCAGTGAACAGCACTGATTGTACTTGTGCCAGTGTTTTTGCCTCTTTCTTTCATTTGTCCCTTGTGCCATAACTTGTCGCCTCTGATTATACTCTGGGACAACTCTCTGTGGCCGTGAGGGGAAAGCTTCGGGGGCGGAGCTCCTTCACGTGTACTCCTTCTCGAAGTAGTCTGGCTAGACTCTCTTTTTGAATGACGGATGTGTTTGAATAATACCACAGGCTAGAACTTGCTACGTCTGCTTACACAAAAATTTGTGAGTGAAATTCGACACAAGCTCCTTTGGCGAGTCGTCGGATAGCTGGAGGGCGATGTGCGCTCACTTAAAAGTGAAGACGCCATTTTGTTGACTATGAGGTGCACCTAAAACGTGGGAAAGAGGTTTTGAGATGTGCTAAATGTGAAATCACACTTCATAAAGCAAAACAAATAATTACATCTTCTTGGTTCGCTTAGGGTCCCTTTGTAAACAGGATCCCGTAGAAAATAAAGTAATGTTGTTTTTATGATTTTCACGCGGATAACATAGACGCATTTGTGGGACCATATTCTTCAGCGGTGGCACACGCCCACTTTGGTTCCGTAGCCTTCCCTTCATTGCCACAGAAAGTTTTCTCCGAGTATAGCCATGTATTATGAAATCCATGGATTACCGTAAAATGCCAGGCAAGTGCCCCTCTCTCTTTTTTGAGAGATCTGAAATAAGTGCCAAAGTGCCAGTGACCGGTCTGAAACCGAGAAAGTGCCCTCCTCAAAATCTGGTCGGATTACCCTTCACCGTAGGGGGGGGCAGGGGCCTTGCTTGGCATTTTCTTATAAGCCCAACTACAGCAACCTCTCCATGCTCCGCCAAGAAACGTCCTACATAATGACTGATCAAATTTGCGCAGTTCTGCCACCGGTGCTAGTTCCACGTCACAGCGAGTACCCTCCAGGGGGCCACACGATGATTCCTTCGGTTTTCCAACAAGTGGCCGAGTCCGGCATGCCACACAATGTCAGCTTCTCTGCACAAGGCTTCAGCGCAGCGACTTCGGGAGCCTCTGCGACCACGGGGACGGCTGTTGCAGTGGGAAACACAGCAGCTGCAGGCGTTCCCTCACCAGGCCCCAGCCTTAGCAGTTCCGCTCCGAACAGCCCCTTTGGGTTGCCCGGTAAGTGGGCACTATGTGCATCTTCACTACGCACATATCTGGGCTGATCGGGTCCCACTACTTGCATACGGAAATCTTGCGAACGGGGATAGCACAAAGCAGGGAAGTTGGAAAGAGTAGTCTGGCACACACATCTACTTGGCAAGAACGGAAGCATCCACGAGAGCAATGAAAACGCTCAAAGGCGAGAATAATAAAAAAAAGCAAGCCACTACGCACTTGAACACATAAGCGTGTCTGAAACAGAAGTGTTCAACACCAAGGGGATCAATAAAATGTCTTCTCTGTCAGTTAGTTTACAAAGGAGATATGTATAGTAGTGTGAGCAGGCGACTTCCGCTCCCCATCCTGCACTTTTTTTGAACTTATGTTAGAAGAAATGGTTGGGCTTCCAAAATTTGGTGTAGTCACATGCACTTACAGCATTTGCAGGGTTCGTTACATGCTGCATTTTCTTCTTGCCATTGTTGCACGCTTGGGCCTTCACAGTTCCTTCCAACAGGGCATTTATCAGTAGTTTGATTTTGTTCTGAATGGCATAACATTTGTAGACAGATCGGTAATTATGATGACATCTCATCTTTATTCAGGTAATAATCATTAAGCGAGTCAGGTTATACGAAATTGTTCGAACTGATGCAAATGGTTAAGGCATGCCGTCAGACGTGCTCTGCCACTCTCGTTGCCTAGATGCCATTTCGTGATATCAATAGTTTTAAACAGCCATAGCACACTGCCTTTGGTTAAAAAGTTTGGGCTATACTTGATGTCCAAACGTACTTGAAATATGTCTTGTGTCAAAGGGAGTGACATATTGATGTTTTGTTGAGTACATAGCTGACTAACATATTTCTGTGCCTGATTTAATGTGCAGCAGACACTCCTCCACCTGCTTATTCAGCTCAGGATGAGAGTCAATCAGCCACTGATGACCAGCCTCAATCAATGGACACGTCGGCTGTTCCTCCTGGTAAGCGCTGGTTGCTGATAGTATCCACTGCGGGCTTTTCTTTTAAGGGGAGATGCGAGTCTTGCTGACTAGGTGATTAAAACATTCATATTTCACCTGAAACACCACATGCGTCTTATGCATGCGCCCACAAGCGTTTCCACATCTTTTTGCGCTCACTCCTGTTCCCCGATTCTGCATTTCGCCTCGCTTATGAACAATGGTGTGCGCAGTTTGCGAAGCTGCTCAACAGATGCCAAGATACCACTGCTACACGGGCAACAGTACAGTGCTGCTTTCAAGTGGCAAGCGATCCTCTACGCAGAGTCAGAAAGCAATGTTGAAGCAGGGACGGAAGTTTGATGCGTCAGAAAAGTGCATGGGGTAGTGGAGAAAACAAAGGACCAAAATCTTCGCGTGCACTGGGACACGGTGTTCCTTTCGTGGACCAAAATCTGGACGTTACTCTGCCACTGAGGAGGTGGTTCGAGATTAGATTCACGACCAGAGAAACAAAAGCCTGAGTGTTTACTATGGTGATGTTGAAGCAAAAGTATGCCCTGATGCGAAGAATATGTGCATCCCGCTAACAGAGTTCAAACCGAGCTTTTTGAGTGAAGTGGTGTTATGGGTTAATTAAGCCTGGTACAGACTGTCAACCGACATAGTTGCGGTGGCGTTTTTCATGTGTGGCATCTCAGTACTGCCAGCACCCTTTCCGACACCTAGAAGCAGCAGTGGCTCACACGATGGCAATGACCGTGACTGCTGCGTCCTTCTCTCTAGTGACGACAAGTCGTAAAGAATGTTTCACGGTCAAATAAATGTTTTTTTTTGCATTACTCCCTCTACTGAAAGACTTACTGGTGTGCTATGGCTGCAGCATGAGGCTGTGTTCAAACTCAACTTTTTTTTTTTTTTTTTTTTGCCTAGAAGGTGTTGGAGGTTGGTGGGTCGACTTATAATTGGCGATATGTGGTACATTCGGCCTTCGTCACGTTTGCATTCTTGCTTTCCCAATTGCCTTCGCTTACTTGATGCAGTGTCCCAGCTTTTTTTTTTTTTTTTTTCCTGGTTGCTTTAGGTTGTGCTTTACGGCGTGTTTTTGGGTGGCCAAGTCTTCGCTTTGCCAACCGTGTGCATCGTCGGACAGTGCCGCACAGCTTATCGTAGTGGAAATGATGTTCAGTATGAGCCTCAGTCAACTATAGCTGAGCAAGTATTGCTGTGCCGCCATGTTTTGCCAATGACAGAGAGTTTCCATTGGTGGACTTGAAGTGATGTCAGCTGTGCAGCTCGGGGAAACATGAGCTGAGGAATCGAAATTGTGTTTTTATAGCTATTAAATGGACGGCCAGAATTCTGAGTAGACCTGTACATAGCTAAAGATTTCCTGAAAAGGTTTCACTACCCCTTTGATGCTCACGTTAAGGGAAAATTATTTTGCACGCTGAAGAGAACTTCATCGCATTCCTTTTTTGAGCTCGAAGCTTCGCTACTACATCTGGCGCCAATGAGGAGGGTCAGCTGCAGGTAGACCAGTAGAAGCTTCCACAGGTCAAAGCATGAAGATACCCGAGCCTTGAATATGAGTTTGCCAACTAGCTGAAGCTACTCTGTGCAAAACAAGCTTGTCTTGGTAACTTTCGTGGGTACGCATGTGATCGAGGCATTATCCTGAAGAAATCTTCATGAATAGCCAGGAGAATTAATTTTCCTTTCTAAGAAGGCATACACTACCTCTATCACTTTATTTGTTTATTTTTTCGAATCTACAGTCTAAGGGCACCTAAGTTTTCATTTTGCATTTGTGAATATTTGGTCGTCGTTAGACTCAAGTGAAAAAAGAATTTTTTTGCTTGGATGGCATTCGAGAGTCTTCCTGAAATGCAGGGTCAGTGTAAAATTACAATGTGCAGTCGAGGTTTCTAATGCATTCTATTTTTATGGGGGTTTTGCCGGGAACAAACTGATTCGTCGTGTAACTGGAGCACGAATAAATTTAGATTCTACTGTAGTTACAAGGGCATGCTAACCTCAGTTCCGGCAAAACTCTTTGAGAGTGAGCTACAGTTACCGTATATACTCGTGTAAGGGCCGCACTTTTTTTTCGAAAATTTTGCTAGGTGCGGCCCTTACACGAATCAGGCCGATTTAGTACAGGCAGTACAGGCCAAAGGTCTGTACTGTTTATGCAACAGTAGCAGAGTGCAAGAGTCACAAATGACATGCCAGAAATGTTTTTATTCGGATTCCATTTCGCTGTCCTCGTTCTCGGAGGAGCTCGCCTCGGCGTCCGCGTCTTCCCAGAGACGGTCATCTTCGGTGCCGTTCATGGAGTTCGAAATTCCCGTTACCTTGAAGCTTTTAGCAACTACTTCTACTGACATGGCACGCCACGCATTCAAAATCCATTCACACACCTGTTGGAGCGACGCCCGCTTCAGCCGTCCTGTAGGGGTCTTCTCGTGGACGCCTCCAGCCATCCATTCAGAGTAACATCGGCGAAATTCCACTTTGAATGGTCTGTTGACGCATACGTCGAGCGGCTGCAGCACACTCGTCAGGCCACCGGGAATGACGGCCAAGTCCGTACGAGTTGCGGCAACTCGGTTCTTGACGCGGTCGGTCAAGTGGCCCCTAAAGCTGTCCAAAACAAGGAGGGCTTTCCGTTGTAACAGCCCTCCAGGTCTGTTTGCCCAGACGGTCTTAATCCAGTCAACGACCAGTTCCTCGGACATCCAGCCCTTCTCTTGCGCACGTACGACGATTCCCTGAGGGAACTTCTCTTTTGGGAGAGTCTTCCTTTTAAATACGACGTACGGCGGAAGCCTCCTGCCGTCTGCCGTGATGCACAACATCACAGTGCACCTTTGGCGTTCTGCACCAGTCGTGCGCACAGACACACTTTTCGCACCTTTTAAATCCACTGTGGTGCTTTCCGGTGCATCGAACCACACAGGTGTCTGGTCCGCATTCCCAATTTGGGACAGGTCGTATTCATGCTCCCTCCTGAGAGCATTCACGAAGCGATGAAACTTAATGACGTGGTCTTCGTACTCGCGCGGCAGTTTTTGGCAAATCGTCGTTCGGCGCCGAATAGAAAGCTGGTTACGGTTCATAAACCGCGTAGCCCAGCCCCGACTTGCCTTGAATTGTGCCGGGGGTATTTCCATGTGGCGAGCGATGCTGAGGGCTTTGACGCGTATCATGTCAGTCGATACGGCGTAGCCGTCCCTTCGTGTGTCGACGACGTAGTTGACGAGCTCGCTTTCGAGTTGCGGGTACTTGCACTTTTTCCCGCGAAACGCCTTTCGGCTCCTGTTAGTAGCGGCGAGGGCATCTTTCTGATTCATCCAGTAACGCACGCGCTTCTCATCGACGTCGTACTTTCGTCCAGCTTCCCGCTTCCCGTGCTCCTCGGCATAGTCAATCACTTGCAGCTTAAATGCTGCAGTGAATGATCTCAGATGCCGGCCCATCGTCCGTCACGTGCGCTGGCTTCTGCAGGGTTCACTACAACCAACAAAGTGACACCGACGACACCGATCTGAAGTCGCGCTGCCAACGTATCGACACGATGCTAGGAACGATGCCAACAAAGAGGCCGCACAAGGCAAATATGGCGGCGCGCTGTCAACAGCGTGGTCGGCGCGTCGGCGGAAGTAGAATAAAAGCGGAAAAGCGTGCAGCGCCATCTGGCTGTAAATGAACTAACTACACTTTTCTGGCGGGACATTTTGAACTTTTGTTTTTTTTTTTTTTCGAAATATCCGCTTTCAAAGTTGGGGTGCGGCCCTTACACGAGGGCGGCCCTTACACGAGTATATACGGTACATGCCAACTGCACATGGCATTAACCGTTGTGACACTGATCTTTTTTTTTCCTTGTCCCTTGTTTGGCAGACGTGTCCCCAGTCACGTACCAAGAGCCGCAGTATTGGTGCACCATTGCTTATTACGAGCTCAACTCCAGGGTAGGTGAAATCTTCCATGCACAGAGCCACAGCATCGTCATCGACGGCTTCACCGACCCGTCAAACAACAACAATCGCTTTTGCCTTGGCCTCTTGTCGAATGTCAACCGCAACTCGACGATTGAAAACACACGGCGGCACATTGGGAAAGGTGAGTCATTGAATAGCAAACACGCAGTTGTGACACATTATCTTATTGAACAGGCTTTCAACCTGTCTCATCGCTTTTGTGATCTTTACACTGTAGACTCACAGCAAAAGAAAAATCTCATAAATAGAATTTCTGCCCCATCAGAAGAACTGCATGTTATATGATTGGTTTCATCTTTGAATTCTACACTTCTAATCTCTCAGTAAGCTGCATTCCTGTTTAACAGAACATGTTTTCCCAGGGCCTCCAAGTTTTGTTTAGCGAGCTGAAAGCCGACATACTAAATGCCAAATTATAACTTTCACACTGGGCTGAATTTGTCTCAAGCTGTAGTCTGAGATGCGTGTCGTCTCTTTTATGTGCTGATGGCACGCTGTGGCAATGTCTTCTGATTGCAGGCGTTCACCTGTACTATGTCGGAGGTGAAGTCTATGCTGAATGCCTCAGTGACAGTGCCATCTTTGTACAGAGCAGGAACTGCAACCACTCTCACCAATTCCATCCAACCACTGTTTGCAAGATACCTTCGGGCTGCAGCCTGAAGATCTTCAACAACAGAGTGAGTTGCTCTAGGTTCTAAAGAATTCGTTACTTTACCAGGTTAATTCTGCATGATATTATGTCTGAAAGCTCGAAATAATTTCCCACTGGTTACATTCAGCACTCTCGCTACATTTTATATTAAGTTCATGTGCTCCTGAGTGTCTTCAACTGCATCTGCCTAGCAAATATAAAAGGCAATGTATGTCTTATGTCACTGTGATATATTGTATTCATTGATGTATATGTCACGATTAAAATTATTTAAACATGAAATCCTGCCTTTAGCATAAAATTTCAATAATATTTGTCGCAAGAGCCCATAAAATCTTAAGACATAAAATTTCGCCGTAGTAAATGTTTCGGCAAGGGTTGGTGTTAAATCCAATCTTCATGTGTTGGAACATTTGCTCTGGTGAAATTCCTCATTAAACAGTTCATCATTTGTTTCAGCTTCCCATTCTTTGTTTTATCCATACCGTATTTACTCTTGTGACGCGAGCGTGGTTGTAATGTGGGGGGTGGCTTTTCAGGAAGAAAATAATAATTAAAATTTAAAAAAATTGCGTACATATTGCACTTTTTAGGCATCTTGAATTTCGGCATTCGATTTTAAAAAGGAGGACCGACTTCAGGCAGTGAAAGTGTGGAAATAAACAGGTGCTACATTTTCGTACATACGGTATGTCGTGCTATTTGGACAGTTTCAGCAAAGGGAAGTTGTGCTAACTTGCTGGGATTAGAGTTCGCTTTCTGTGTAGTGAAATGTAGTTCTTTTTAAAAATGTTAGCTTGAATCCATATGGGCACTGCTACATCAAGTCAAGCTGTTGCCAAAAACTTGAGCAGCTTTGCCACCACTGGTCTCTCGTATTTTAAAACATTCTCTGTCCTCGTCATGTTGTGCTGCTCAGAATTTGATGTTTTTTTTTAATGGGTTACCTAGCTCTCTGCAATGGACTTGTTTCAACCTTAGCAAAATCCACGAATACTCTCTCATTTTACTTGGTATGTGCTTTGGTAATTAGTATAGTGTGCTGCAATGTTGCTGTGGGTATAGGCATTTTTCATAAGCTACAAGTGCACTTCCCTGCACTGCAGATTTTCCCAACTAATGGGGGATTCTTCCGTACTTTGTATTTTCTTTGTGCACGTGTTCAGGTTTTTCTATTATGATTTTATCAAGTGAGCTATCTTCATTTTTCAAGTCATAGTGCTAGAAAACAGCGCTTGAAGACGCTGTTTGCAGAAGTGACCAAATTCTACTTAGTTGAGCTAACTGAACTGTATAAAATCTAGCTTTACAATGAACAAAAGAATCTATGGCTTTTGTCATGTTAGGCTGTACAAATTCAGTTCATGGCAACTGTATTTTTTTTCCTTGCTCTTTTTGCGCAGGAGTTTGCCGAACTGCTGACCATGGCCGTTAACAATGGCTTCGAAGCCGTTTATGAGCTGACCAAAATGTGCATAATCCGCATGAGCTTTGTCAAGGGCTGGGGTGCCGAGTACCACCGTCAGGATGTGACCTCTACGCCATGCTGGATTGAAGTGCACCTCTCCGGGCCCTTGCAATGGCTCGACAAGGTGCTCACGCAAATGGGCTCACCGCACAACCCCATCTCATCAGTTTCGTGACAAGACCTCTCCTCGTTCGCTCGTTTTTTCTACCGGCGGTACTCCCCTTCGTCACCTGCTTCCTGCCATTCACAGATTTCCCTCCCTTCCTACATGTTCTACAAGCAGTCTCAAGAACCCGTGCATCTTCCGCAAGCGACACATCTCGTTTCTTCTCCTGGCATGTCTTGTGCTGCATTGTTTTTGGGAGTCAGCTGCACAGCACGTAGGGCGGGAACTGTGTCCTCCGGTTGCGCCGCTTGGCTCCAAGTTGGTGCCATTGTCTCTGTGTGCTAGTGCAAGGTTAAAGCAAGATTCCTGTGGTGTGGTTCCCCCAGCTTCACCGTGACAATTTTTCGTTTTTGCAAGCTCCTTCACGTATTATATCGACGCGTGGCACTCAATGCACCCAAGCCGAGCGACTGGCGCAGTTTGTGGGGGTTTCACCACTGCGCGGGGACTCGTGTCACATTTGCTATTGATTGAGTGCACATTTGTGTTGCGTGAATTTTTTTTTTTGTACGTATGCAAAGAGCAGAGCCTAGAAGGGTTGTTTTTCTGGGTGGTAGCATACCAGCATCAGTACATATGTAAAGGTGTGAAGAATAGTAGTTTGGTGGACGTTTCATCCTTCATGTGCTAACTCTTTAAGGATTGGACACAGATCCAGACAGGAAGAGCCAGGAGTACACATGCAAAGTGTAGCAACATTATAGAAGAAGGGTGGGCAAAAGAAGCAGGAGTGCCATATTGTGAGTGCTTTTTACTATGTCTTAGGTACGCACTGGTAAAACAAGTGCAGGACAGTCTGTTGCAGCCTGTAGTTGTCATTAGCACAGGAAAGACTTTCATAAGGCATCCTCTATACCACTTCATCAAAAAAGAAAAACGATTTCGTTCAAGAGGTGCATTCATTGTACCTTGTGAAAGATGGGACAAGAGAGCCATCTTTAGAAGGCATGGTTAGATGTGTTGAACTTTGACATGTTCAAAGACTGCCTCATGTATGCCATTTATTTTCTCGAAGCACTGAAGAAAGCTTTATAAGAAAAAAAATGTTTAGCGACCTTCGCATGGTGGGGGTCACGGGCGAGACGCGTCGTACAGTTTTGCACGCATATGTGCAAATGGTATTGACAGCCACAGAACAAGTTTCGGGGCTGGTTCAAAAAGTTAGAGCAGTGAGGTTTCCAAGAACTCCGCTTGTATCAAATGCAGTGCTGAACCATGCGTCTTCGGTTTTGCTTGTTTGTTAATGAGCCTCCTTTTGGTGTGTGAGGAATCTGCACAAGATACAAGGAACACAAAGATGGGATTCTGTACTACTGTTTGCATGTCTTAAGAGTGTAAAGGTGCTAAGAATTACATACTCTCCGTCACAGCATTACTATTGCATTTTTCTTGCACCAGCTCTTTATTGTGAACTTTCGGTAGATGCTACTTGTAATTATATGAGTGGTGAATTTTAAAGAAGTGTGTAAAAAGGGTCTGTAAGAAACTACCTAAGTGTTAGAGAGCGCACTCTCCTCTCCTTGTGTTTATCCCATTTCTCCTCCACCCCCTTCTCTGTATATTCTTCTTTTTTTTTGTATGCTGCTGCTACCCACATATTGTCATAGCAGGCTTTCTTTTATCTTGATGCATAGTTTTAATTAGTCCGTCTCAGTTTTTGTTGCACACTTGCCACAGCAGTTGGGTACTCTTGGTAGAAAATATTGGTATACCTTGTTTCTTTTGCAGTGTTGTGGAGGCCAATGGTGGTTGGCTCTGTGAAATTGGTTTCATTGCCGTTTTGCAGGCCTAAAAACCCTAGTGCTGCCCATGGAAAACTTCTGATCGTTCTGTTATATCACCCTCTCAATTTCAAACTATTTCATGTTACAAGCTTCTTTTTTTTTAATTTAAGCCTGGCTGTCATGGACATTTGAGCTCATGAGTGCCCATACCTTTGGGAGGTTTTGCATCGGCCAGGGATTTTTATGCAGTTCAGAGTGCAATACGAAAAAAGAAAGCCCTCACGGCCGTGAAAGTTACTTCACTGTTTCACACTGCAATTTTGTGTTGTTTCTTGACTGAAATCGTCTGCAATTTTGCAAATAGCATTATTGAGGCTGCCTGTGTGGAAGCCATGTCTGAAACATTTAGCAACAAGAACCCTGCTCAGTAGTTCTTCAAGGACATCGCTTTGAGTTTTAGCAGATTGGACAAGAGAGAAATTTGTGCGCCCGGGCGAACTTCGCTGTTGACGTCATTCTTGTATCGTGTAGCAGTTTAGCGTGTGTACGAAATAAGTGGCAGAAAGGCTGTGCTGTAAATGGCATCCGGTTGCTAAAGTAAGCCAGGGCATGCGAAGCATCACTGAAAGTAATTGTGTTGAAATTTTTCCTTAGGGAAATTTATTTCAGTACAGGTGTGATAAGTTTTCTTGCTTGTTTTTCATTCTTCCCTTTCTACTACCAGTCATTTTATCAAACTAATAATCGCGTTTTCCAGAGTTAAGGCTGATGCCGAACATATTTGGATTAAGTAATTTGTCGGGGCATGGATGTTAGGCGTTTGCAATGATGTTAGTCCTTGTTACACCACTAATATTGGAGTTCCTGATTTATTTCAGTGTACTCTTTAATACTGGTTTTACCTTCATTCAGGTGTATAACTAACTACATGTTTTTCAGATTGAGAGATCTTTAAAAAAAGAAGTATTTCTGCTTGTCTGGGGTGCATTGCTTTTTTTTTTTTTTTTTTTTTTGACAAGTGCAGCACGGTGGTGTGAAGACTTTCAAAAGCCCAAACGCATTTGTCTGTACAAATAGTTTTTTTTTTTTTTTTTTTGGTGGCTGTTAAAGGATCAGGCACTATACACAGCTATCAGCTCGTATGTCAGTCTCCCCTGTTACATTAAAACTTCTAGAAATCTGGTAAACTGATAGAATCGCCAAAGCAACACCCAAAATAGCCTTGAAAACCTTTCAGAACGACTGTTTAACTCTACCAGTGCTTGCGCAGCGACAGAAATCTGCCAGTTCTTGCACGTATGATTTAGAACACGTACTTGCTGTCACTGAGTCTCCTTTTGCTTTCTTCGTACGGGCTTCACTGCAGTGCATTTGATATGCTTGATCATCCGGCACTTCAGCATTAGGGTGAAGCTGGCTTTTGGGGACTGCTGTGGGTGTCATTAGATTGGTGTGGCAGAGTGCTGGTTTGTGGCAGCAAGATCATAAATGTGGCAGCAGTGAAAGTTCCAATCAATCTAATTTCGGAGGATAGTTTCACTGTTGCTTGATATAATGCAACATGAATACTGTGTTGTTTAAGCCAGGAAGCCTGTTCTGTCTTCTGACTTATCCATTTGAAGCACGCCAAAAGCAAATCTTGAATGTGTAGGCCAATAACTATCGCTCCTGTTCCAGACAGCAGCATGCTTCTGGTTCTTTCCTTTTTGAGAGGTTCTGTTGTGTATCTGTCTCTTTTGTGACACCCAGGAACTTTAATTGTGAGCTGGAATTTTGGGACTGCAGTCGTTTCGTGTGGCTACCATTGCATCTGGGTTTAAAGGGACACTATAGAGGAAAACAATTTTTCGGGTATTAGTAAAGTGCAATTTCACGTTCCATAAAACACCACTCTAACCGCGACATGACGATTGGTAAGCGAGAAAACGTGCGAGAAGAAAATGCAGGTGTAGGCACCACTGAGAGATTCTTGCACCATTGTGACTTCGTAATTTTTGGGGACGTCTACTGGGTCCTACATAGCTTTTACTCGATAAAAATTATGTACATTGTCCTCTGTGGGTGCCATCGGCATAGCACTCAATATTTCAAAAAATTTCATCGAGGTAATGTCGTGAAAATACAAAACGTACATTTGGGGATTTGCTACGTCATGCACGAATATCGCGGCACGAAATTTAAATATAAAGCTTTAACCTTGATTTTCATCGCTAATAATGAATTTATGATTGTGAAACATGTGGCATTTGAGTTCTTAGAGTCCAGTTCATCAATCTAAACCAAGTCATTGTTTCTCTTTAGTGTCCCTTTAAGCTCGGTAGTGTATGGGGAAGAAAGGCCCGTAGAAAATCTTCCTCCGTTGTTCCGAGCATTGGATATTAGTAAGATTGGAAATGAAGCTTCATTCTTGGTAAAGATTGTCGCCATTTTCTTTTTTTGGAAGCATCTGATCTGATGGGCATTCTGCCTTTTTTTCGCGGTAAACGCCTTCTCTGCTTGCACAATGTACTCGCAGTTCTCTGTGGCTTGCTTCTGCACAAACAGTGCGCATAACTCTTGCTTGGTAAGGGCTAGTATTATTTAGTTTCTGTGTTTCATTTGTCAATGATAGTTGGGTTTGGGGTTGCAAGACAAGTACAAAAAAAAATTTAAAAAAGCGCAATCACTTTGTTGAGTTTCGCTGTTGACACACTCTCGACTCCGTTGCTAGTGCTTGGGATTAGTGTCTAAGTGAAATGGATTTGCGTGTTTAAAGATTTATTATTAGTCTAATTGGTGGGTGGGCATATGTTGAGAAAGCTGTTAATCAGAGCAGTGATTTGTTTTAGCTAATATTCTGTTCACACATGGCTGCAAGCTTGACAAGGTCTCGACGTAACTAACGGCTGGTTTGTTTTACAAACAAAACGCACACTCTGGCTATCTGGTGCCTGGCTTTGGCTATTGCTTTGCATATATCGAGTGACCTGCCTATAGCAGTGCACGTGCACAAGCTTTCGCTTTAGTTTTGTCCCTTACCTACTGGTGTTTTACCGCACAGATTTTACCGAGGGGCACTATTGTTTACTGTCTGTCGTTTCATCTGCGCTTTCGAGCGTGTGTTGTCGTAAGTGTTCTCAGAGGGTGCCACTACAATTTTCGGCCTATAGGCCCAATTTCAGCAACAGTGGCTATTACATTGGCATTTCTTCTATTGCCTATCTGATTGAGCTGCTCTGAGCAATTGTATTGAGCATTTCAGTTTCTGTGTGTTCGTGGTTTCATTGTTGAAGTGACGGTTGATGCAATAAGTCTTACTCTTGAATGCTGCATTACTGTTGTATTATACAGCTTTTTTGTCAGATATTTTTTTCCTGTAATATGTTCGAACATTTGTTCATTTTTGACAAGAGAAAAAAGTTTATGCATGTAATATAGCACATAAACATTAGCATTTTTTTTTATTGCAATGTAGCATTTTAACTTTTTAATCGTAGCATGTTGATGCTGCTCTCGTGTACTTTTCGCACCATGTAGCAAGTTTGCTTAAGTAAGGCAAGTGTTGTTGCATGCTGCTCGTTGTTGCCATATCTGCTAACGTGGTCGGAGGTGTTCTTTCGTGTGTATAGTTATTCACTGTGCCGGTGCTGAGCACAGCGGGTATATTTAGCACAAGTCGTATACATTTTGTGGGTGGTGTACATTTACACACGTAAGGTGTGGCAGAAATGGTGCATGGCCTTGCCTTTCTCATAGGTTATCATTTGTAAATGTTTCCCAATTCACGAGCAGTTTTGTAGTGTGGCCTATCTCTACAAGATGTTTTAAAATCTTCTGCCGTGAATGTGATTGAGGGCACAAGAAAAGCATGCCTTCAGATTGACTTCAAGGTTCTTGAGCACACGTACCCACTACGTTTTGCTGTTTATAACCAACAGAGGTGGGCTATACAGAAAAAACGAACTGCACGCTTCAGCATTACATGCGGGGACTCTTCCATCCAGCACATGATTTTGCAAAGTGCTGCCTTTGATATGCCTTCTCTTTTTTAAAAGCTTCTATGAGATTATTATTGCTACGTGCCTTCAGCAAGGAAAGCTGGTTTTTTGCCTATCAGTGCCGCACTTTTTTTGTGCCATTTTTTGCAGGCTGCTACTGAACCCAACGACATTCGGTGCTAGCCAATCGTGTGAACAGTTTCTTACGAATCACTTTTCCTTCGCTGCAAGTTATTTTTGCAGGAGCATGTCGCATTCAAGTCCTCAAGCTTGGCGGCCTTGTACAGTTTGTATTTGAAGCAGTTGAGTGCAGAGTGTGTGGTATCTTTCCTTTCGTATTTGACTGTAGCAGAAAATAAAAAAAAAAAACATTTCTCTGCACTTTTGTGTCGTGACTGTAGCAGAAAATAAAAAAAAAAACATTTCTCTGCACTTTTGTGTCGTTCTGTGGTGGTGCTTTGTGGAATGCGTGCGAATGCATTCCTTCCTCCTTGTGCGAGTGTGCCAAACATGGCGCCAAACCAGCAACCCTTTTTTTTTTTTTTCAGAAAGGGCTTTTTGTGCGCCGTCATATCGCGTTCGCGCTTCCCGCACAGCCGCAACACACGTGCCGGGACTCCTACCGCACGCAAGCCGGGGACAAATAACCAATTGGCGACGCTCTTTCACGCTCCGCAGCGTCGCCAATTGGCTTATTTTACCTCCGCTTGCCTGCGCTCTCGCTTGCTGGATTTCGAGCTGACCGGTCGTGCGCTCGCGCGCTCCGCGCGCTTGCGATCTCCCGCGTCAGCGTGGCTCTGGCCGACTGGACTCGCCCTACGTCATCTCCTGCCGCCGACGACCTTCCACCTCCGACGACAGTGCAGCTCTGATTTACTGGACTTGTTCTACGCCATCCACCGACGCCGAAAGGAGCTCTCGCAGGTGCGCCCCGTCCTCGGACTCCAGTGACCGTGCTCCATCTTTCCTATCTCTTCTATCCCCTCGATTTGTCCTCGCTCGCTGTGGCTTACCACACGTCTCTTCTTCTCTTCTCCTTCTTCGGCTTTCCCACATCTTTACTCCTATCCTTTTTATCCCTCCTCACCCCCATCCCTCGTGAGCTACTGTGGCGGTGTCGCTCTTTGAAGCAGACAATAACGGGGCTCGCTTTTCTCTTCTTTTCTCTTTTCATAGCCACTCCGCACTCCGCCGCTTGCCTGCGGTAGGGGTCCCGGCACGTGCGTTGCGGCTGTGCGGGAAACGCGCGGAACGGAGCGTGCCGCTCCGAGCGGAACAGGCCTTGCGGACTTGGGACGCACGGGAAAATCCGGTGGGAAAACCTGTATGTAAGATGGAGGGGGGAGTATTGTATGAAACTTTGGGGCAGTACGTAAGGTCTTGGCAACCATGCGCGCGCATGCGTGCGGAACCCATTGCGGATGCATAATGGCACAAGCAATGCTTCGATTGGCTGAAATTGGCCGGAATCGCTCGCAAAGTGGAGCTGGCAACGTTGGTGTGTTTACAAGCATGACGTCACAAGTTCGAGTTCCCACAACTAGCACGCACGCTCGAGAGAGATCGGCACTTGCGGTACGCCGAGGTTCGTGTGTTGCCGGGGTTTGGCGGCCCGGTGTGCCCGCAATTTATTCTATACCCCGTTAGGCCAAGCTGTTGCTCGTAACGAGCCAGCCACAATCACCCTGGACACCGAGGGTAACCATTAGACCCGGTGAGAGATCTGTTAAATCAAATGTTACGCGCATCTCGCCGACTCTATCAACCACTGACTCGGTTCTCTTGAAACCGTTGCGCGCTGTAATGCAATATTCAACCGACACCAACAAATCAAAGTTAACTTTGTTCTTGCGTTACATGACAAGGTATTAAAGCAGGTTGTTCCGGTTGTAGCGGCCTGCGCTATCTAATCGTCGTGGGCTTATCGGAGAAAAAATTCGGTGATCGCGGGCATTTTTTTTTTTTTTTTCAGATCATGAGCTCTTCTTTAGTTGGAGTTCACGTGATTGGGGAAGCTGACATAAATCAATCCAACCAAAAAAGCGATGTCCTGGGTGTGATTAGGTTGACAGACGTGAACGTGAACCTCAAAAATGTGAGGGAACTTATGGCCCATGAGCTACCGACATTCCACCGCGACTTTCTGTTCCTGACACAAGAAAGGTGAGCCCGCAACTTTATTTCGTATACGCGCATGCGTTGTGCTTAAACAATTGGCTTAAATTTCGGGAGAAAAATGAAGTTTATTGTAAATGCCTAAGTTGTGAATTGTTCTGGCGCCATCAGAAGCAGTTGCCGACGAAGAACTCCCATTCAGTTTCAAAGTCAGTGAAGTTTGTCTTCCTCGTAGGATTCCCGTGTTGAAGCATCAAGAAGAGCACATAAGTGCCATCGATGTTCTGAATGGTACCAACGCTCTTTTTGTTACGAGGAACTTTGGTAAGTACATGCGCTGCTCTAATGACGCAACTTAAGACGACCGGCTTTTGTACTGGACGTCGCATATATTCCATTCCTCGTTTTCAGATCGATGGCGAATCGGAATTAAAAAAGCTGGTGGCTCTGTTATTGGCTTTATCTTTGCCGATCGGAACCTCAGTGTAACGGACCTTCGTTCCGAAATAAATGAGCAGGCGAGTGTTGATTTGTTGCAGTAGTCTTGCACCTCTACTCTTTCTGTGGCACTTTTGCAGCTTATGCTGAAGTGTTTCTTCACTTCCGTTTTCCTGACAACGTAGCTTCTAGATGGAGAGTTCGCCTTCTGTGACAGGAATGGCTGGCCCGTGCTCAGTAATCAAGAGCAGGCGCTCTTTGCTTGGGATGTGATTTGTCAAGGTATTGTAACGATTCAGCTGCCACAGAACAAGGTCACCACGCCACTTCACTTACGGGGTAGCAAGGACTGCAGAAAGCGCAAGAAACACAGGTATATTCGCTCTTATATGGCCAACATCTTTTCTTCACCAGCTATATACTTCCTGCTGCACCGACTGTTCCTCTCATTGATTTTCATTTTCAGTACTGGCTTCACAATACAGGAGTTCTCGAAGAAAGACATTGTGATAAGTTATGCACGCAGCGAAGCCGACGAACATGCAAGGAAGCTCAAAGCACAGTTGGAGGTTTTGGGAGCGCAAGTATTTTTGGTATGTCATAAAATAATTCTTTAAACATGTTCTGTTTTAGTTCATATTTCATTTGTGTTGAAATATTATTTACTTGATTGTGCACGAAAAAGTTCAAGCTCCTTCCTGTCCTTGAATTTACAAAATTTTTCGGGACCACAAGAACAACCTAGTGCAGAGCACCTCATCTCTTTTGCAGAATTGGGTAGCTCGGTGCTTGCCAAACTCAAATTGCATTCTTTTAACAGTTGTAGGCTTCAATTAGTGAAATACCAACTTTAATTTATAGAATAACTTTTTATACCTGTAGAGAGTAATGGCTCGAGCATGGAGACAACAAGATGATACTGTACAGCAATCTTCAAATTTGCATGAGAAAAGCTAAATTGGATTATGTCAAATGCATTGAATTATTAGAATTGCACATGAGATGGACTTAAGAAATATGTGTAAATGGTATGGCTATTACCACCAGGCACAACTAAACTGCTCTGAATGATGTACGCTGTTTTGGTTCGAGATATTCGACCTCACAACGGGCTATCTCTTGAGTACTAATATGAAAGGAGGCAGTAAAGCAGCTCTTAGGTGTGGTCATAATTTCAAAAAGAAACAATGAATGGTAATTGTTGCACATGCTTACGTTTTCCTTCGTCAAGGGTATCCCACATCACTGACGCTGACAACCTTTTTATTTTAATTATTTATTCAGCACGGATACAACTCATTTGTTTATTTCCCGTTTCATGATCTGCCTGGCCTTGAACATTTTTTTTTTTGCCTTACAGCTGTGCAACTTTCCAACACTAGAGAGTTGAAGCCGCTTAGCGCTGCCCACTTCTAAAGTCACATATATTATACCATGTCCTAGCTGCTTTGTCTGCTGCACTTGAAAAGTAATCAGGAGTGATTCGCACTATAATTTTTACAGCACACTTCCACGTGGTGGAAATTTACACTGGGCATATTTCGGATAGTCAGCAGCTATAGTGCAGGTCTGATAAACTTGCATGACAGATTTTGTTCTCGTTGTTTTATGTAATATTGTGTGTGTTAATTTTTCTTGCTTCAGAGTTACATTTTGGTGAACCACAGGCGTTATATACAAGTGACGCTTCATTTTTTTCATGCAGTAGCTCAGTTTAGCATTTACCCCTGGTAGTAAACTACAGACTAAGGTGATGCAGTGCTAAGCAATAGGGCACTGGTATCATTTCCGCCCATGGCAGCCACATATTGATGGGGGGGGGGGGGAGGGGGGGGGGGTAAAAATGGGAGAACACCTGTGTACTTCCATGTAAAGGGCCCCTGACAGAATTTTTCAGAACATTAATTGAGACAATGCCTTTAATAGAAGGATTCTGTATTGTGTTGTGCAAAACAAACCTTGTTTTTTTCATTAAATGCAAATTTATATTTTTTGTTTCTTCATTCAAGATTACTTTTGGCACTTCTGGTGGCAAAAAAGTGACCATGCAGATGTACCTGTTGCAAATAAAGGAGAAAAAAGGGGTGGTTGACACGAGCCGCGGGCGCTGACTCGCTCGGTTGTTCCGTTCACCATCGATGTAGCCAGACAATCGGGTCTGGGTCTCCTTCTTCATATCTCACACTTCATTCTGCTGCTGAAACCCACCCGGTCGTCTGGCCCTCGACTTTCAACAATAGGCCAACTCCGAGTACAGCGTGGCTTCTACCGGACAGCCATCACCAAGGCAATGTCTATTCTCGACACCCTACTGGCAGACCTAATGGCCCCTGCTCACAGGCTCCAGGAGCTCATGGACATCATTGTGGCATAACACGCCCACCTCTTCACCTTCGACTAGGAGATTCAAGCTGTGCTACACTGTGAGGACCGCGAAGCAGACTTGATCACCGCCAGCAAATACGAAGATCGGGTCATCTGCGCTAGAGGAAGGATTTGACATGCAACCAAGCCGCTGTCGCCAACCCCACCCGCATACATAGACTTCACAACCACTCCACTTAGTGACCCCCTTGCAGGCACATCGCAGCCGGCTGAGACCTTGCCTTCGCCTGGCCTTCCGACACGCACGACGCCGTCTCACCTCGCACTGCCCAAGCTGCACATCCCGAGTTTCTCAGGCGAACGACGCGACTGGCAAGGATTTTGGGACCAGTTGTAAGGCAGTATCTAGAACGATGACTGGATCACAAAAATGGACAGGTTCCAATACTTATTGACATATCTGACTGGGGCAGCGAAGGCAGCCATTCAAGGTATTTGCTTGGCCGAAGCGAACTATGACGTTGCCACTCAGATCCTGTCCGACCACTTCGGTCGTCGCAACATGCTAGTCGATGACCATGTCGACAGTTTGCTCTCAGTCACACCAGTCCGAAGTTCCATAGAAAGGACTCTGTTAAGAAATCTCCATGATGAAGCCACACTCCGCACCAAACGCCCTGGAAGATCTTGAAGTATCTCCAGGCTAGTATGCCACGGTGCTGTGGCGTGTTCTCTGAAAAGCGTTACCTCCAGACCTCAGTGTCCTCTATCGCCAACGGCAAAAGGAAGCCATGCTATCTAGAAACGGCACAGCATCCCAGGAAGGCCAGTCACAAGGGAAAGACCTTGTGAGCTTCATCAAAGTGCAAGTAGAGATAGGGGAGGAAAGCCGTCTCCAGGAACCGAAATCTACCAGCCGGAGGCCTCCGCAGCGAGACTTGCATATCCATCAGCCACTCTTGCCCTTCGCTGCGGCTTTATCAGCAGAACTTCGATCCCCATGCTCGCACCCCTGCGTCCTGTGCAGCTCTCCTGAACACACTGTTCAGGATTGCTCCGAACGTTTTCCTCTGTAAGAGATGGAAAAGAAGCCTCACGCATAAAAGCTATGCTTTTGCTGCGCCAAACACAATCACTTCGCCAATTATTGCCGCGCCGTCGGAACCCTGCAATGCGGCTGATGCACGGCACAACATTTAACTTCGCATGCGACATAAATAACGTAACGAACCACTCACAGAGTACGAACTACCCCTCGACTCCGGCTTCCGGCTTCCCACAACCTGAGCCGCTGCTCGGCAAGTCCATCCTATTTTCTTGAACCAGACGACTAACTCTTGTACTATCCATCACGCGGTACGATGTGCCTTAAGGGCTTGCCCCAGAAACAACAATACGGGGTGTCCAATTACTCTCCCTACATGTCCCTCAAGCCCAATCCTGGTGGCAGGATTTCGAGTTTGTCTTCCATCAACCCCAAGGAAGTAGACGATCTGGACACTGAGCTGCAGCGCCGCTATGAGCTGCACTCAACCAAATATGTGCGCCCCACAACCACTTGGGACATCGTCGAACATCACCAGAAGATGGCGCCTGACTACAGAGACATTCGCTGGATATATTATCGTCACACCGCACAGCTGCAGTACTGCGACATGTGCATCATGTAGAAAACGGGCGGCGACGAGGACTCTCATGAAGCGGGACTCACTGTTACCGGCAGGTTGTCGGGAGACTCCTGCAGTGATGCCACCAAACACGCCGCCATGGCTGAGATTCTCACACCTGTAAATGTTGGCTCGTTGCACGCTGTTGTCCGCGATGCCGTAACAGAGACCGACAATGTGCTACCAGCAACAGCGCACATGGACGAACCTCTGCTTCCCTCGAAAGTGGCCGAGATTCCTGGCCTTGGCGAGGTCGCCACCTGTTGGAACCAGGATGCATCTGTGTGATCGTTGAGGGAGGAAGGAGCTTTGTCCCGGATTTCGAAGTCTTCATGCAGGTCGGATGCATCTGCGAACCAAGCAAATGTGAAAGACTTCCCGACTCCCGAAGTGGGCAAGCAGCAAATGACCGCGCAGCATATACAGAATTTTTGGACGCAACACCAGGAGCAGAGGACGAATATCACTCTGAAGGGGTGCTCAAATTATCAGAAAACCTCTTTAATCTACAAAAGCAAGCGAAGATCAGACTCATCCTACTACAAGTGACTAAAAAAGCGTAAAGTTCCCAGTATAACCTGAAGATGGCAAAAAACGTGACCACGAATTCATCTCGGAACTACAGTGAGTATGATCGACTGCCTCCACAAGACAAGCCACCGCCTCCCCAAGCTTCATCGTCGTTGGCAAAGCACGCCATCATCTCCGTGTAACACTAACCCCTTCACTCTTTTCACATTCCTCTTTCACTCGTTGGCAGCTCGTTCGTTAATGTCTGTCTGAACTTCTGCCGCTGTGCACCTGAACATTACCCCGAGTTTGCAGGCCACAGGAGTGTGCTGCAAATAAATTAGAAAGAAGGGGCGGTGGGTATGAGCACGAGCAGCGGGCGCTAGCCCGCTCAGTTTTTCCGTTCACCTTCGATGCAGCCAGATGATCAGGTCAGGGTCTTTTCTTCGTTCTTCACAGTACCTATCACGCGACCTTTTAAAGGTGTTAACTATAGTCTCTATATTAGCATTGAAAAGCAGCACACTTTTTATATAACTTTTTTAACAAAAAAATGCAGATATGCATTCGTTATCACTGAGCAGAATAGTGGTGTGGCCTTCGCTTGACGTCTGACTAGATGCTCGTGAATGGCAGCATGAATGTTGTTAGCTGAGGGCCTAGTGGCGGCTGCTGATGTGTTAGAAAAGTACGAAGAGCACATGGTGGCTTTAGAGAGTGCCTCCAGCTATGTGTTGCCGCAACCAATCATGGAGGGTACGAGCAGCTGGCTCGAGAGCCTGTAGAGAGATCTCGTGTGACTAGGAACGTTCGGAAAACTTATTCTGCCTGCTCTTTATATTTCAAAATGGTTAGAAAGGTTAATATGAAGGTGGTTAACGAAAGTTCCAGCCACTCCTGGGAAAACAAAACCCTGAACATAATGAGAGGAGGGCTGTTGGCCTCGTCATTGCTTCACAGTATTGCTGGAGGATGTGTACGTACAGTTCAGGAGCTTTTTGGTTAGAAAAATGCTGCTTATAAAATTAACACGCACTTCTAGGATCAACCACTGCAGCTAGACGTACGAAGGGTGACCTATCTATTCGCCG